GGGGTCTCAAACCCGCTGGCTCAGGCAATCCACTCACCTCAGCCTCCCAAAGGCGCGGGATTACAGGCTGAGCCACCGAGCCCGGCTTAAATCTCGTAATTTTAAATAGGCAACAGATTTGAGCAGACACTTCACACACACATACACACATGCACACACACGCAAATACCATGGCAAATGACCAATAAGCACATGAAGAGATCATAATCATCACGGAAATGCAAAATTAAGATGATACCAATAAATACCACTAGAGTAGCTAAAAATAAAGATTGATATTCCTAACAAAGTCACAAAATTATCAAAAGATTGATTACATCCTATATGTTCACTTTAACAAGACAAAGTATCATACAAAAAAAGGAAATCTAATTTTTTTTTTTTTAAATAGAGATGGGGCCTCACTGTTACCCAGGCTGGTCATGGCCTCCTGGGCTCAAGCAACCCTCCCACCTCAGCCTCCTGAGTAGCTGGGACTACAGGCACGTGCCACTGTGCCTGGACTAAATCTGAGTTCTCTGTAAGACTCTACATTTCAGGACACCTTATTCCTTAAAGGCTCCAGGGAGGTGAGGCTTTGCTACATTGACTGCAGTGTTCTCCAGACCCTGGACTCTTACCACAGTCGTAAAGCAAGAACTTTGCTAACAGTGCGATTCTGCTTTCTAGCACACACAAAGGAAGCTGCAGAGGCCGGGGTTTCTATCCCATTCTGCCTCGCGCTCACCATGCGACCTCAAGTGGGTTACTCGTCCTCATTCCCAGATCCTGGTGCTGGTCTCTGATAAGCTCCCTTCCCTTTTGACTTGGTTTCTTTTATCTGCTGTGGACATACATGTGGAGTAAATATTCCCTTGGCTTTAGAAATCCTCAAACTGGCCGGACTCGCTGACTCAGCCAGTAATCCCAGCACTTTGGGAGGCCGAGGTGAGTGGATTGCCTGAGCCCGCAGGTTCGAGACCTGCCTGGGCAACTTGGTGAGACCTCATCTCTACAATAAATCAAAAAAAATTAGCCGGGTGTGGTAGCGCGCGCCTATAGTTCCAGCTACTTGGAAGGCTGAGGCGGAAGGATCGCCGGAGCCCAGCAGGTAGAGGCTGCAGTGGCCGGGAGCGGCCACTGCACTCCAGTCTGAGCAACAGAGTGAGACTCTAACTCAAAAAAAAAAAAAAAAAAGAAATCCTCAAACTAATACCATAATTATACTTGCTTTAGTTCACACACATGTAAAATTGAGGAAGTAGGGCTACTGTGAGGATTAAATAATTTAACATATGTAAAACAGAATAGTATTTGGCATATAACAAGTGTTCAATAAATGTTGATTATGACTATTAATAATTATTTCTTGTTATTGTTTATTATTTAAAGAAATTCAGGCCGGGCTCGGTGGCTCAGCCTGTAATCCCCCACCTTTGGGAGGCTGAGGTGAGTGGATTGCCTGAGCCCGCGGGTTCGAGACCCGTCTGGGCAGGCGAGACCTCATCTCTACAGTAAAATCAAAAAATTAGCCGGGCGTGGTAGCGCGCGCCTGTAATTCCGGCTACTCGGAAGGCTGAAGCGGAAGGATCGCCAGAGCCCAGCAGGTCGAGGCTGCGGTGACCGGGAGCGGCCACTGCACTCCAGTCTGGGTGACACAGTGAGACTCCAACTCAAAAAAAGAAATTCAAAACTTTACAGTATTACCTTCCTATCCCAGTCATTTTGGGTACAGTATACTGACAGCATACAACTGCATAACTTGACAAAGCCTCTGTTACATACTTAGTTGAGCCAGAATCAGAATTAAAGAGTAAAAGAGGCCGGGCATGACAGCTCACGTCTGTAATCTCAGCGCTTTGGGAAGCCAGGCAAGAGCCCAGGAGTTCAAGGTTATGAAGAGTTATGACTGCATCATTGCACTCCAACCTGGGCAACAGAGTGAGACCTTGTCTCTTTAAAAAAGTGGGAGGAGGCTGGGCTCGGTGGCTCAGCCTATAATCCCAGCACTTTGGGAGGTTGAGGAGAGTGGATTGCCTGAGCCCCGCGGATTCGAGACCAGACCGGGCAACTTGGGGAGACCTCGTCTCTACAATAAA